CAGACATTTGCAGCTAGAATAGTCATTTACCACATTAGCAATGTATAAAGTGTATTTCTGATTAGTTTAAAGTTATCTTCATTGAAAAAAACAGTGCTTTTCTTTCAAAAATAAGGAAATTTCTGTGACCCCAAACTTTTGAACGGTAGTGTATGTATATATGCATTTATGTATGTTGGCATTTCTGATTATCTATGCATATAGTTAAATTTTAACACACAATTAAAATATGTTAAAATATTCACCATTTCTATGTAACTGGTTTGTTCTTAAAAAAAGAAACTCTAATTCTCTGCTAATTACTTGAAAACAAAAAACCAAAACAAATATAGTGGCCAAACAATGTCACATCCATCCACCGGGTGGTAGGTTTCAGATGCAAATTCTATATATTGAATTTTTTATTTGCATGTAACTAACTCCATGACATAAACAACACAAATTAAACTAGTATATGGATTCATGATAGATTAAAAAACACAATAAATGAGAATTCCTGCTCTGATTTGCCTTCTTTCAAGTGTTTCCCCCTCTTTTTTCCTTTTTCCCCCTCCTTTTCTCCTTTCCAACCCCCCCACAGAAGTCCATTATGCCTCTCCTTTTCTTAGTGGTTAAGGAAGTGGACTTGGGTCCGGAAGGCTTCAGGTTTGAGTCCACCAGCTGCCAAGTTACCACTGAGGTGCTCTGAGCATGGCACCGTCCCCACACACTGCTTCCCGGGCGCTTAAAGCTGCCCACTGTTCACTTTAGTGATGGGTTAAAAGCAGAGGTCACATTTGCTTGTGTGCACTGTTGTGCTGTCTCACTATGACAAGTAGTCCACTTTCCTTTCTTTTAAGGATTTAGCAAGACGAATTTTACAAGAATCTAGGAGAGCATCTGAAGAATTAAACTCCACCCCAAGCTCATTATTCAACAATTCACTGGCGCTGGTTGGACTGAAATTGATGGGAAAAAAATGGAACTGAAATGGTAAAAAAGCATAGATGCACATATCACCAGTCTCTATATAAAGTAACTCACCATCCAGCATAGGAATGACTGTCTTCCTTAGTGCAAGTACCAACCCCAGTGGTGAACCAAAGAGGAAAAAGTCGGACACCTCAAAGTCAAACTTCCCCAGGGAGCCTCCATCCAGCATGGTGCTGCTACTGGACTTGCGAGAAGCGGCATCATTCCGCAAGACACTGGAGTGTAAGCTGGAAGAACATCAAAAAGTCACTTCTTCCCATAAAGCTAAAAATAAATCACATTCTGAGAGGACATGAAACCAAAGACTAAGTTATTTTTTTAAGCTTACTGGTACAAACTCTTTGTGAATGTACCTGGTCAAAAAGGCCTGGTGTTGTTTTATGGTGTCCAGTTCATAAGTGGAGGAATCACTTCTCTTGCGTGGCATTTGTCTCTTGGTGTCGTCAGTGGTGCCTGCCCGGGGGATGTCAATGTTGCTGCGACTGAGTTGGCGGCTGCCCTCCAGGGTAGGAGAAGATGAGCCATGCCCACTGTTGACAATGATTCCAGGGGAGAGAAGGTCCTGATCCTGCAGGAGGAAGTATGGAAAACTATGTAAACAAGAACTGAAATCATGTTTAACAGTATTCACAGAAGACATAGAATATTCAGTCATACCTGTACACTGACCACGCTGCCCCTGCGACTGCTGTTCTGACTTTCATTAACCGTCTGGTTGCTGCTGCAGAGAGCATCAAATCCCAGGATTCCTCCCACACAATCCCCAATGAGACAAACCTAAAGAGGTCGGACACAACATTTGTTGGCTACGTTTTATCACCATATAGCTGGGGATTACTTGAGAGGAAAGAAAGGCAAGTTAATAAGTTATTAAATTGCATTTACACATAAATAATTAATACTGACAATTAATTTTATCATTCACAGTTGCTTTATTAACATTTGGGAGGACGTCATTACACGTCTCAAAAAAAAATCCTATTAATGCTTGATAAAACATGGTGTTTAATTAATTTGTAAATGTTGACACGCCCAGCCTAATAATTTCCTGGAATAACAAACAATAGATCTGTTTAAAGTATGACTAAATTATAAAGTATGAATAAAGTATAAAGTGTACTGCATGCTGTTTTCTGTAGAAAGCTGTTTAACCCACTCAATATCCTTTTGAACAATTTGTGTGAATAAAACATTTGGCTCTTCTTTTTAACGATTTTAGGATCAATACAGGCAATTCTGAAGGTTAGTTTTTGAATTTGCATAATTTTTTTTTGCAACAATGAAGTGGACAACAAATGCAAATGCAATTGTATTTACTTCAACATCTCTGAAGGACAGTTACTGACCTGGCCAGAGAAGTTGGAGCCATTCAAAGACTTTATGAAATCAGAATACACCTGATTGGCTCTGACCATGACAGTGGCCACGGCCTCCTGGTACTGTGGAGCAGAGGTGGCCAGGAGGGGCAGAGCTGCCAGTGGGATATGATCCTGGCTGGACAGACATCCCTCATCGTAGCTGTACGGGCTCAGACTATAAAAACGGAGACACAAATACAACCATCAGTAAAAAATACTGTTATTGTAATATCGCCAGCCTCCTCAAACTGTGTTCTCTTACTGGGACACCAGGGAAAAGGCCTCGGCACAGATGGCAGGGCAGTGCACCAAACGGATGGCGATGCGTCCCAACGCAGCAGGATAGTGAACGCGCATGACCGTGTCAAAAGCTGTGCTAATGGTGTTGACGTCTGCCTGCTTGCTGTTCTGGTCTCCTCCTCCTGTATCAAGGATGTTCCCTCCGTGCAGGACTAAGATCAGAACATGAATCTTGGAAGGCTGCAGGCACTGCTGTGACAAATTCTCCTGAAAATAGTGAATGAAGAGAGTTGTGGACGGTTGGGGAATATCAGAGACCATGATATGTGAGAAGACCGTAAAATTATAGTTGCATGCTGATCCAAGTAACAGATAAACAAAAAAACCTCTGCAACTGGACATCAAACTACTTTAATCAGATCAAGGTCACAGATTCGGACTTATGGGGTTCTTTCAACAACCATAGCAAGGACAGAAACCATGACAGGGAACAGAACAGAGCCAACCTACAATCCACTGGGACAACTGTTCAACCAACAGCAAACAACCACAATGCTTGCTGACGACAAGTTACATTCAGTAGAACGACACAATGTGTAGTTAGTTCTTATTGGTTGGAGTCAAAACTTCACATTTTCAGAGAAGCACTGTATGTACAGTCAACAGCACAGGTGCAAATACATGGCAGTTGAACAGAGGGTGGCAGGGTGCGGGGAGTACACATGATTTTGGGCAACGGCAGGGAAAAAGGGCAGGGAACGTGAGTACTGGGTTTGTTCAGGGGGGAGAGGAGGTTCTCTGTGGAGCTTCAAGTCTATAGTGTAGTGGGGCCGGAATGTTTACTTACTGGCTGGTGCCTTGTTACTGTGATGGTAGGAATGGGTGAGCTATTGGCTCGGCCGCTAACAGAGCAACGTATCTGAACACAAGAGGACAGAGAGGCTCAGGGACAATTAGGCCGTCTCTGCAAAAACTCAAAAAAAAAAAAACAAGGAGTCGCTAAGTTGGTGATGCTCTGGACCATTTACTTTTCAGTGGAAAGTGGAAAGTATTTTATTGTTTTGTGCTGACCAACTTAATCCTTATTTGTAAAGAATAAACTAATTCAGATATCAATACATTGAATACACTTATTACTGAATGTTATAGTTTTTGCATGTTTTATGTTTGCCCTTTCTTGCTGGACAGACGACATAAGCAGCTCAACAGTCCGTGGTTGCCCTTGTTTGACTGTCCTTTCAGGGTGCACCACATATCTTCAGTTTAAGATAAATATAGACAGCAGCAGGACAGTCAAACACGTGCATCCAGGTGCCATGACAGATATTAGCACATCCCACAGAAGAATTGGCTTTTACCCACAGAAAAATTGTTATTAAAAAGTCAGAGAAAACACATACATTTTGACAACCATTCCTAATTAATTTTTGTTAGGTCTTTGTCTTGGAAAAGACAGATGAAGACAAAGTCTATGATGAAAATTATAAGCAGTTGGAATGTCGACTGGTGATTGTGCCCATGAGTGAATGCACCTTTTAAAGCCAAGTTCAGCTGCTCAACAGGGAACCCTACAGAATGTTACTTTTACGACTTTTCCCATTTTACTTTGTACCTCACATTGATTTTGAAACACAATGACATCATCTTTAAGTCTTTGATTATCAAACATAATTGAGTTTCTTTTGTTAATCTTAATTCTAAGGAATTTGTATAAGTTGAAAAACAGCACCAGACATTGCATGGAAAAAAAGTAGGACTTGAGTGTATTTTAACACGTACCTCGTCTAGTCTCTCCTCATTGGCATCTCTGTCATAATCTACAGCCATCTCTTTATACAGATCACCTGAAAATGACACACACCATATAAGATAAGGCAGACGTGTGTCTGTCTCTGATTAAGTTTTTGTTTTTGTTTTTAAACCATACCGGGAGTTTCCTCTGTGTCCACACTGTCAATATTGTCCATGAAGTCATTGGAATTCCACTTGACGATTTCCTTTGGAAAGACCTCCTCGCCGTCTGACAGATCCTCTGCAAAGGAAACGAAACGTGAATCATCATCATCATCATCATGAGTGCAGTTGCCATTCTGGACTTAATGCAGTGTTATATTAAAGTAACTGAGAGCTGTCCTGTGAGTTACATTTAATTACATTTATTTTTACCAATTATGAAATGACATTTACCATTTTATGACAAGATGTCAGTTTGCAGTCAAAATGTTAAGAGTGGAGCAGGCTTTGTTATTTTAGGAATGTCCTACAGATAATGTAATGCCACAATATACCTGGTTTATGTGTGCAGGGGTGGAGGACAGGAAGTGTCCATTACTCAAGTTTTTTTTTTTTTACAGGTCACAGTTTCTCTAGTTCTCTAGTAATTAAAAGGTTTTTTTCTTCATGTTTTTTATGTGCTGATTTATACCAAATGACATAAACATGACGAAACATGTGACTCAATTAGGTTTTATGAGAAAGTCCAGGATACGATCTACGATCATTTGTTTAAAAATTAAGTGTTGGAATGACTCATAAACTACTCCCTTAATAATGTTTATCGGGCCATAACTATCAAGCTATAAAGAGGTCAGAAAAAAAAAATTAGCAACAGATAGAGGAGGATATGGCTCAGTTCACACAAATTACTTTGGGATATCATTATCTTTATCTTGCATGTATTTATTATTAAAATAAAAATAACAATTCTCGTTTTTTTTTTTTGGTTTATTTACCATTATTTACTCATTTTGATAAATGATAATAACAAAGTGGTAACAGCCTTGAGCAGCATGACCTTAGCTTGTCCTGTTGTGTATATCATCTGGCGCAAAAGGCTAATACAAGGTTAATTTCTTGTTTTCCTGAATGTAGTACTTTAGCACTCTTCTAATTAGCCAAGTGTTCTGAATGATCTCAATTTTATTTTATACATGTTTCTTTTACTTTATTATTATCTAGGTTTAAGTACTTAGTTATTTTTCTCCATTTTCATTATGACTTGTGTTAAGAGTTCTATTTATTAAATGTTACAGCAAAGATCTCAACATAAATAAATCCTAATGAGCAGAATTCTGCCCAAAAGCTTTCTTATTTATTCTTTAAAAAGAATTGTGACAGAATTCCCCTGCCAAACAGAAGCAGTGTGACAATTAAAAATAAACCTGCAGATGATTGCAATAGATGTTTACTGCACCACAACCATAACCAGAAACTCGCCTTCACAAGAAAGCGATCTAATATCAAGGGCAATCTGAGCAAGTCAGCCTGTTTCCATAATTAATTTTTCCTTTGTCATGTGATTCAAGATGATACCGAAACACACTCACTTATTTCCATGCAAACTGTCTCCTGAGTTCATAGTTACCCCTACCTCATTAATTTCTTGGAATTTGTGTTGTCACCTTTATGGTGTAATACTATCTGTAAATCAAAAATGACTGAGGTGGAAGCAGGAGCAGTTCAACAGAGACTGTACTGACTATTAGGTGGACATGATGACTTATTATGAAGAGTGCAATGAGATCTTAAATCAGTTTATTAGATACAGTGTGATGTACTTGGACTTCAGACAGCTTTGTAATTGATTTATACAAGTCTGATCAGCATGACACACACTAAATTGTCAATCCCTGAACATGAGCATGGAGCCTAATGATTTAATTCCAGAAATAAAACATGAGAGCGACATGCACAACTTTATTCCTGCTTCATAGTCATGAGTTAATGTTATGAAAGAACAACATCTGTCTGAGGAGAAACAGAGGAGGACGTGAGTCAGTTATTAATTTTCCATTGTGTGAGAGTGTAATAGATTTGTGACTTCATCACGTCATCATGATGAGACACATGACGGTGTCCGGGGTCAAACATGTGCAGACAGCACTGCCTGGGATTTTTTTTTTTTTATGCACCACACCCTTCTACTTCAGCTGCAGCCCCAAAGCATGCTGGGTATCTGGGAAGTTTATGAACTGATCTGCGATTAAAGAGATGCATTCAAAGTGAGGCAGGGTGGGATGGAAGCAAGATTCTCAGAAGATTTTCATCTAAGCACTACCTTTCATTTAAAATTTAAACTTGTATTTTACCATGAGCGTCAAAGAACTCCTCGTCTGAGCTGTCCTCAGAATCTCGTGCGATGCTCTCCATCCTCCATTCTGAGATGCTGTGCCGTGATGGGCTCACTAAAACAATTTAAAAATAGTAGAGTTACTCTACTCTACTAATAACTAATATAGTTACTTTTCTATCTAAAAAACACACACAAGTATATGAAAATGCCAATTCTGGAAAAAAATGTAGACTTTTGAGTAAGTTCTGTTTACGTTAAACAAATATGTTAAGATTTGAGAACCTATTATTATTATTTGATCAAAATAACAAGCAGACAGAAATACAAAAGTCCACATTTGAACATTGTGATGATGGTGGGGGGGGCTTGTCCGTCACACACTTTAGTCTGTGCTCCATGGATCATTAGTCTGGATGGGTAGAGGGGGCGTGGCTCTTAAGAGAAAGCTGGAGACGTTGGAGGGAAGGAGCGGACACAGCTGTAGCTGTCAGTACACTGAAGAAAACAGCAGTAGTGCTGTTGGTGGTGGACGGGAGTGTCGCTGCAAACAGCATCAGTCTCCTCTGGTCTGTGATGTCAGCACAGCTGCTAAAAATAGCACAGCAGAAAACTACAGGGGGTGTATCACGGGGTGAGATGAGGCATTTCTGATTAGAGTCAGGGTCCAGGGGGCAGCTACAGTGAGCCCTGGCTCGAGGTAGTGGGTGTCAAAGGGGATCAGTGTGCATTGAAATGTAGTTGGTGAGGCTGAATCAGCTAGATGCTTGCAGAACTTAAATATTGAATTCATATGAATCACAAATCTGAAAAATGTTGTGAAAAATAAATATTTTGGCCAATATTCAGTTATTATCTGGTTACTTCAAATGAATTATTAATAAATAAAACAGTATTGGTGTATGTGTTGTGGTCACTCCACTAGACTTAGACATTAGCAGCATGAACAGACCGTGTGCAGCCATATTATAGGTAAACAAGGCAAAGAAGATGCACATTAATGACAAATAGAAAAATGTAACTGCAATGGAGGTATTCCAGGGAAAATACATTAAAACCAGTATAACCCTGCACACCCCACATAATACCCCAGCCCTCACATTCACACCACAAATACAGATCTTTGTCTTTTTCTATTGTTAGTATTTATATTTGTACTGCCATTTTTTAATTTTATTGTATTTATAACCCTGATTTTTGAACTCTGAGGGCCTATCTCAATTACCATTTCACTGCCACTATCTGCTCAGTGTGTTGTGTGACAAATAAAGCTGACTTGTATTAGTTCTCTATGTTTGAGTAAAATTATGTTTTTTTAGACATAAAAATGTAAGATGATCACACTAAAGTGATTTCAAAGCATGTTTTTAACAAGAACATCTCTCCAAATAGTTATTCAAGATTGAAGGAGATATAGAATGTTAAAAAAAAAATTCATTCCAACAACATATCTTTATTGTAGACACTAGCCTAATTATATTAGGACAGGTAAATAATTCGACAACCATTTCTCTATTTTCCTACTCTATAATAGGACTTATATCAAGCCTTGCATGTCCAATAAATCAACAGCTTCTTTTTTAATTCCACACTGATCATTATTTTTTACCTTATAAGCAGTTATGTGTTATTTTCTCTACCCCCTCTCTGTCCTACAAGGTATGCACCCCACAGTTTGGCAGTCACTGATCCATTTGCAGCAGAAAATGCTCCAATAAAAGTTTAACACAGTAAACAGTTTACAGAAGGCAGATGGGTGATTAGATGGATATGGAGAGCTCATCAGTAGAGTCCTTAGCAAATGTCAGTCCTTACGACTACGGTAGGGGCCGGTTAATGTTTAAGATATTCTGTTCCTTTTATGGTGCTTTGGGAGGAAAGGAGAAACCTTGATTAGTTACAAAAAGAATCAGAAAATAAGAAATAATAGCTCCATTAGCCATGGAAATATGAGAGGGGATTTAAGCTACATAAGTTTGCTACCATGCTACTTTAAATGGGGTGAAATGATATCTACATCTATCTACCTATCATCATGATCTCAGTCTCAGCAGAATTCGCTTTGTCTTTCAGTTGTGATCAGGACTGTGCTCTATGTGTACTGCAGTTACAGTACATACTCTTACTAAATATCATGCAGCCCTACTTGTTACCTCCTCTCTTAGATGAGCGAGATGAGCGGGATGAGGCAGACCACTGCTTTGTGAGCACACCTCTAGGCTGAAGAGTCTCTCTCCCGGTGTTGACGACCATCTCCTCTGCCTCGATGGAGCTGATGGCCTCTTTAACCTCCTGGTCTTTGTCTGTAGAGGGACCTCCACTCATGGCTTCAGTGGCTTCTTCTGCCTGGCTAAACTGTGCCATCTTCCTGGCCAGGGCCAGCTGAGTTTCCAGCTCCAGCTGTCTGATGTCTTCGATGGTCAGACCGTACCACTCGTCCTGCCAGCACCAGGCCTGCCGGTGGGCACGGGCCATCACCTTCCTGAGTCCTTGTAACAGAAGGTGAAAGATGTTTAGATGAAAGCTTTAAATTTACAATAAACAAATACAGAACAACAGACGCCACAGCCGGCCACAGTGGGATTCGTACCATTGAAACTGGATAACAACCCAATCCTTACCACTAGGCGACAGCTGCTGCTAACGCTAAGCTAAAGGTATTATCTGCCGTTTTAGAAAATCTTGCCTGAATACAGTATTATAAAGAGTTAGTTAAAAAGGGTTACTCACCAACATCATGAATGAAACGTTCAATCTTTGACTGCATACCCCAGTAGCGGAATTCCACTTTGCACAGTTTGTAAGCGCACATGATGGGGGTCTTTCCTGGGTTGTTGTTGTACTCCTCTATCCAGTCGTCTCTCAGCGGCCCTCTCTGGGTCTTCACTGACTTGAAGAGGCGCAAATCCTCCTCCACCTTGTACTCATGAGGGGGAATGGGATCTGTCACTATGTCAATTGGGTCTGACCGAGACAAGTCACAGTCAGAAAGCATGTTTTGATATGACAATGTATGACAACGATAATTTTTTTTTTCATATTTAGAGCATCCACTGTACAACAGGGCCTAAACTTCTGTTTATAGCAGCATCAATGGCTGACTGAGTGAATAAAGTCATTAGGATCATTCTCTGGAATAATGGAAGCCAAAAACCAATAATTCTATTTTAATGGAATCAATCTCAGATATAACAAATGTAGTAGCACTAAAGTGCCACAAGTGTCCTTGGCTGCTGGTTACAGCTTTAGGTGCATGAAAACCAATGCAATTAAACCTTAAAAGCTTACTTATCAAGAACAACTGGCAAAATGTTAATTACTCTCCAATTTCATTCTCTTTAACGCTCTTTGAAACATTAAATGTGACCATTTATTTTTAGTTTTATATTGAACAAAATGTTGGTTTTGCACTGGTTTAGGATGAACTCCAAATTGTCTCACCAATTGTTGTTTGCCTTTTCTCTGCTGCAGACATGTTGAAGACATCAGACTGGTTGCCTGTGTCAGACTTGTAGTAAGTTTCAATGTCAATGGAGAACTTTTCCACAAAGGGACAGGTGTATCTGAAATAAAGGAGATTTCAACAGTTGACTTAGAGACACTGAAAAAATTGCCCCAATGAAATTGCGCCTTAGGACGATTAATGTCCCTAATAATACTTAAGTTACGGTAACTTAATTTAAATTTACTTGACAACCTCTTACTGGTGAAACCAAAGAATGTGTGAGAATATTTATCAGTTGAATCAATTGCATTTGTGCAAAGCTCTCTTTAAAACATGTACGAACGAGGCACTTTTAAACTAACAAGACTCTCGGGAGGCTCCGCACAGATGGACAGAAACAGAAAGATAATGCAAAAACAATGCTATAATCTCTACGATAATTCTGCAACAGCTTAACTCCTATGCACAGCACTTTGTTAAAAATAAAACAGCCTCAGCAGAGTTTGCTGCAAGTACTGTCCCACTCAGAGGAGAGGTGTGTGCGTGTGTGGAGGCGGACCTTCTGCTTGCTCTACATCTCACCTGGTGCGAGTGTAAGGGTAGGCGTTCCAGGACTCCTCTTCAACTCGTAGCGCTGCTTTGGGCAAGATGGAGCGAAACCAGCTCGGGATGTGCTTGCCAATGTGGAAAACCTTGTGGGTGTACTGTCCATTTCCCCCTGGTCCATCTGTGTAGGGTTTGTTCTCCAAGATCTCCACCCCACTACCTTCACCACAGCTCTCTTCTCTGCTCTTTTTCTGAAAGCAAAGAAAAGCAGGAAGTTGTAATTTTGATGTGGTGTAATGAATAAATAGGAATACAACTTTTCAAACATTCCAAGCCATAACTGAATATGGATAAATTAGTAATGTGGCTTTGGTAATAATTATTTAAAGCAGGGGTGGCCAACCAGTGAAGAGGCTACGAGCCACAACTTTTACTGTTATTGCAAAGAGCCACATGATATAGATGAGTACATGTGAACTGCCTCATCCCTTTAAAAACTAAAATAAAACTTTCCCACTCCCTTAAAACTTCCATCTGTGTGAATTGGGTTTTCCTTAAGTAATTTGCGTAAATGCCCATCGGCATGAGTTATAGATAGTGTAAAAAAACACAAACAAAAAAATCTACATGAATGTAAGAGCTGCAGGTTGGTCATGCCTGATCTAAAGGGATAACTAGTGCAATCTGACACTACAACAACAAGGACACCAAAACCTAAAACTGCCTGAACCTGGCCTCCTTCAACAATGAATTGCAAATAAGTAAGGCAAAAAAAAACCTGCTCAGGCAGCCACACCTTTTCCATATTTACATTCCAGGTACAAAGAGGGTGGAGCCTGTAAACAAGGTTGACTTTTTGATTCAAAGTCAAGACATGTGTGGCATCAAAGTGAGTCAATGATTTGTAATGGTTATGAAATCTTTGAAACGGGAAACCCGTACTCTAGTCTTGGGCATAGTCCAAGTAACAACAGGAAAAACAGGAAAAAGAGAGTAAAGAGCGAGGACCATAACTGTCAAGAGATGAACGATGGATCATCTTTTTGTTTTCTTTTCAGCCTATTACCTTGTCTTTCCTCTTACAACTGACAGTTTAACACTGTGTATGGTACTGCACCAGGATAACAGGGAGACAGATCTCTCCTGTCAGTTCAGTGGTGAGATGCAGTGCAGGTGTGGCTGCAAATCAGTGGAATATGGAGGAAGCCATGAGGCGTCCAGCTCTCTGGACCTCATTATCTCTGACAGACCATTCATTAGCCACTGGCTCTGCTCTCAACAGCCCAGACACAGCTCTAAAGACACAGCACAGACACCACAACAGCCTGTACGCCACAGTAAATATGATGGAAATGTCAAGTCCGCAAACACATTCGAGCACTTGTGTTGTCAAGAAACAGACTCTAATAAAGATATTTTTGACTATCATTTACAGCAGCACTTTGACAAAAATGTTTATTTAGGGGGAAAGCTTCTGTAATTGTGGTGCAGAAAAGAGAGTACACTTAGTGGCCCACTGCCTTTACTTAAGCAGAGATGTTTTCACCATGTCACTCTGAAAATAGATTATTAACTGTTGGCCAGGGCTCAGATGATTTCCTGGGGTAAAACAAAGACAAGTTAGGAAAAAGTGACATGAATGAAATATTACGATGAAATCACTAAAGCTTCCGATTCTATCAGCAAAAACATAATTTAAGGGAAGAATACTGCAGTAATTTAACCAACCATCTAACCAACTTAGACTCATATAATCCCAATGAGGAATGTGACATGTCTCCAGAGGTGTGATGTGTGTGTTAATCAGCAGGGTTGCAAACCCTCCGTCTTCCAGCTACACATATGTAACAATAGAGGAAATAATTTGACAGAAAGGAAGCAAGGCTGCATCTTTTTATGTAAGCTGGAGGAGAGTGGTGAGCTTGGCCTAGCATCAGAGAAGAATAAATTCTAACTGAATGCTAACTTAATGTTGTTTAAAGATGTAGGCAACTGGACTCACCTCAAATAAATTGAAGACTTTTAACCTCTCATCTCAGCTTCATCTTTTTGTGTAATCTTTCTGTGAAATGTGCATCTGTTCTCTTCAGCCAATGATTACTAGTATCAAAATTAAAGTCATGTATTACTGAGATGGAGAAGTACTTTCATATAAAACAACATCGTATTTACTTACTGTTGAATGAAACCCTGAATAAAAGAAAAGTGATAAGAGTGATGCAATAATGTCATACCAATGCACTCAGCTCTAGAGAGGGAAAGGAAGCAAAATGCTTTCGTACACATGCCTGTGTTGTCATTGGTTACACCGATTTTTACATCAGCAGCTGCTGGACCCAATTCATTGAGATGTGCAATGGGCATACTGCATCAACTTCTATTTAAAACTGCACAAGTAACTTTTCACTTCGCTGTGGATGATCACTGATGTGGCAAGTTCAAATCCTGTCCTCAGACTGCAGTCACATACTGTAGCAGTGACTTTATTTATCTAATTTTTCAACAAATACTAAACACAAATGTAAGGTCCTTCAGGTAAGCCAACCGTCTGTGTTAATAGCCGTGAACTCCGACAGGATAGGAGTCATATCCTGGGTTTTTTTCCCTCCTGCTATCGAGCCAGTCATACGAGTTTCCTGTTTCAGGCTGCTTTTCACTCCTCTACAGTCATACTGTTGCATGGCCAGAATGTGAGGGATGTGTGCGAGTGAATGAGACACACTGAGATTCTCAAATACTTTTTTTGCACATTCCGCACTCAGATTATGCACTACTGCGTACCCCAATGCAGCAATGTTAGCATAATTTACTGTCAGAGGAGAAGGGCAGTGTCGTGAATATAGCAATGCTGCTGGGAGGCTGCAGATATGGTCAAACTTTCCTGTAAACTAGGATTCATCTGTAAGACTCAACATCTCAGATGGACTACAGGTAGGCAGGCAGGCCTATGTGCTGCAGTTACCCTGGAAACATACAGCGAAGAATTGAGTGTATTTACAGAGACCAGCAAAATCTTTGTTTCCACTCTCTCTTTGCACAGAATATACAGCTCTCACTCTCTTTTCTTTCCACCCCCTTTCTCTCATTTCCCCACTCCCTCCTTCACAATTTTTTTATATCCTCCATTTCCTCTTTTTATTCACTCGCTCTCTTGAGCAAAACCCAACCACCAGCAAACTGATGATGTCATGGTTGCCATGGTGACAGAAGCCACACAGCAATGAGGCTGTGGAGCGAGGGTGAGGTCAGGGGGAAAGGTAACTATGGGTCACTAATCTAAAGATCCCGCCTCTAATAATGAGCTGTTTACATGCATGTATACAGTATGTACTGAGTATCTGCAAAGACTTAAAGTCCTGAGAAATTGTGTGGTAAGTTGGACTTTTGACAAATGGTTCTGTATGAAAAACAATGACGATAATGAGTGCAGAGATTGCAAATGTCAAATTCACATTTAAATTCCTATTATAAATTTGCAAGTCATTACCCATTCTTTATTTGTTCCTTTCTCCTTTACTATCACGGTCACAAAAAGACGCGAAAATAGGACGCGAACTGACTGATGTTGTCTAGAAAAAAGTGCTTTCTGTGAGGCATGTTGACTTAGTCATGTTCTTAACCATCTACTCCTCAAATGCTGAGCTGTTTCATGTACAGCCAAGGACAGAAATGAAGAAAAACAACTTGACATCAGACAAGTTGTCACATGAACAGTCTGAGGTCAAACCACACAACCAGGAAGTTGTTTGTAGACTGGAAAACAAAGTATTTTGTCAGTGGGAAAACCCTAATTCTGTAGTTGGTACTCAGAGTATGTAAGTCTAAATGGTGCAAAAAAAGGCTAGGGTTTCTGAGGCAACACAGGTGAACATATCAACAATGCTGTGTTCTACTGTAAGTGGATGTTCATTTAACTTAGTTGACACGTGTAAATACTAATTAAATTCGTATAATGAACAGCTGTTGTAGAACCATCTCGATAGGAAGGTCAGTGATCTCATGTTTTTCCAGAAGCCTTAAACGTTTATTCTCTTTAATCCCTCTCCTCACAGGCTGGACATCTATTGTACAATGTCTTCAACAAAATCATTTAGAGTAGACGCTGAATGATACTCAAATCCTCAAGTGTCCTTATTTGGGTGTGTCGTACGAGTTCTAAAACAATTTCTTCCTACAAAAATACACAAGGGCATCAGGTAGAACTGATACAAATATGCTCAACACAAATGCTCCAATGAGTCAGGCTAATGTCTCTCTGCCATAGCTCTCAATTATAAACACTACAGGATATGCTACTCTCTAAGGGCTTAGACTGTAGCCTTACGGTACTAGAGCCGTGGTGAACAGCATCAATATCATGGCGTTGATATTTTGAAAATATAACAAGAAAGGAATTAGCAATTAGTATTTGCAATTTGCGATAAAATGTTTCTGTCCTTTATGGTTCCTGCTCTTTCCAACGCCTATTAAGATTGACACCAGCACAAAAAAAAATTGTGAAATTATGTTTGTTGGATTTTTTTTTTACACATTTTGAATAAAATAATAGTAATAATAGATGTTAGAGCTATTTGGGGTTTCCTACAAAGTAAGTAAGTGGCTTTTTGTGGATGTGATGCTCTCTCCAAAGAAACATTTAATCAGATAAAACCTGAACAAACAGGCCTGCAACCCTAACCTGCTTTTTAACAACTGCAGGATTTTCATGCTTCACATAACATCACAAAGGAGCTTAGTATTTGGTGGTTGATGGCGGCTCCAGTGACAACAACCTAAACAGTGTAAACGTGTACAGGGTGGAAACCACAATCATCCCAGACTGTGTTGTTGCAATTGCGCACCAGGACTCTTGTGTACTGCAGCACCTGGCAGTTCCACTGGATTAAAAAATAAATCCTAGCACACATCCTATATGAAGAGGAAAGGTGTTGCTGCACAGTAGAATGTAAGTTTCATAAACCAGCCTTTGCTGCAGCTGCTAACTCCTGCAGGCCTATGCACAGAACCTCACGGTATTCTTCAACAGGCAGCCTGCTTGGATGAATAAAACTGAACCAGACACAGACAAAACACCCTGTCCATCTGCACTGTAGAGCATGTGCTCTAGCAGCTACGATCTTACTGAAGACACATGCAGCCCATGACAAATGTTAAAACATCCCGCTTCAGAGAGTACAAATTAGACAATCTATCAGTGAATACAAGCTCTCTTTGTTCAATTACTTCACCCAAGCCAGACACCATGTGACTAATCATTTAATAATTAGGTACTAATTAGGTTAGTTAGTCTTACTTTTCATCACCTCACAAGTAATTTGCCTGGTGGGACATGACTCTAATGTGCGGCACGTAGTTGTGACCTCACCTGGATCATATAAAGCTGGGCAATGCGATACTCCTCCACACTCAGGGGCATGGGTATGCGGTACTCTTTGATGAGCATTGTGAATCTTTGAGGAAGGGCAAAAGAGGGATCAGGGAGCAGAATGAAACGAGGGAAAGAAGGGACAGAGGAGGAGGAAAGGGAAGAAGGGACTGGAGAAATGCTGGAATTCCTATATGTGACTTGTCAAATGACCAGTTGAAGTCCACATTGACGGTTCCTGTGGCAGAAGAGAAAGAAGAAAGTATTAGTTATGAGAACTGTGGATGTATTTAAAATACATCAAGCATCACTACACAAACATTTGCATAAGTCTCCTAAAATAAGGATCTCCTAAAAATATCTAGCAGGTTCTTAAACATTTGAATGCATCTACTTTGCCCATCAATAAAAAGCTAGTTTTCAGAAGCTACAAAATCCATATATACAGAACATAACCAAGGGCAAACAATCTTTCTACTGGCTCCAGTACAGACGGGAGAGAGAAAATAGTCAAGGTGTTATTCAGAGAATTTGTTCAAAGTAGTTACTGAATGTCTGGATGTCTGGTCCAAGTGTTGGCACCAAGGACGAGCATCAGTGCGTCACCATCCTATCGTACAGACTGAAGTAAAGCACTTCTTAGGAGAAACTTCGGTTCTTATACAGCATGTGTCTGTCTGTGTGTGTGTGGTTGTGGCCCCAGACGATGGAACGCACCCATGCTTTTCTGTTAGTCGCAGCAGCCACCTGGTCTCCCTTAACCGCTCATGGTTGTCACATGGGGGGCTCACTCTGCATAAGAGGGATTATTGCAGTGTTGGGAAAATTACATAACACTCTAAGAGCCCCCAGTGTATGGTTATGGTCGAGGTTTCACAAGTAATGTTTTCAAAGCAGATAGGATTGAATGTGTTCTATGTATACGTAATATGCTAGTGGCGTGACTTCAAAACACTTCATGCTGTGTAAACCAAGCAAGAGTGTTTATGCTCAGTCAAAGAGCTGCTGTCAGACATGAACACTTCTAAAAGTGATTCAACACTTTTGGCATGTGAGAGCAACAGAACACAAGCTCATTAGTGATTGCCATCTTGTCTGTTTTATATCTTTTCATTTTTTGACCAATTAAGATTTCATCTGAACACACCCTGTCTAAGGACCTGGCCTGACCTCCATTTCTGCACCTAACTGTGTTCTTAAAATATTTGTTTATTTCAATTTGTACTTAATTAGAAGACACTGAAGTGATTGTCTTTTACATTCAATCTTCCCTTTTTGTAGCAGATGGGAAACTATAAACAAATCCCATTCTCCCCAGAAGTCATTAGTCAGGAACATAGGCAACAAACAAAGTCTCAACCTCATCACACTGTCATTGTTCCTTTGCATACCTCGGTTACTTGCCATTTCCTGCGCATGGAGCACATGGTCATGTGTGTGTGTCTTCCAAGTCTTTGAGTGATACTACATGTCTGTGAGTGTTGTTGAGGCCAATCTTTTCTGATACAGGCAATAATGACAGCATAAGCAGTACCCAACATTGTTTTCAGGAATGACACTTCAAAGCCATAACCTTCCAGTATCTCCTCACTACATCATACTTCCTTCATTACCCTTCTATGCCTACTGTTCTTGTTCAACCTTTGATCATATACCTTTAATATCACACTGGTATTAATGTGCATGTTACAATTTCTCCAAGGGTCACCATCCAAACCAGGGGCCCTTAAATGGTAGCCTGTTATTGCCATCCAGACCATAAGACACCCATTTGTGGATCGTGGACATTTAAAAGACAGATTTATTCCTTCCTTCACTGTGTGTTGTGACTTGGACTGTATAAACAGGATCTCATTTCCTTGCCAAGAATGCCCTGATAAACTGTTACCAAAAATGGCTTTTTTACTTAGATGTGTGAAGATGTGTGATCTGCTGCTGAAATTCTGACAGATACAAAAAAGGTAAAGCCTGCAGATTAGGACTCATTGGTTAAAATTAAAAAAGTACTGTACAGAAAGAATCTACAAAGGATAACAACAAAGCCTGAGCACAGTCTGTTAACCCCATTACATAATACCAATGCTTTTTCTCTTCAGACCTATGGCAGCAACTGGACCGCCCTCTGGCGCCTGGCCATTTTATCTAATCACACTAATATTCTCCCTGCGTCACTTATTCAACAAACAAAGGCATGCTTTGATGAGAGAACGGGTAAAAACAACGATTATTTTCTTCTCTAAATGAATGTTCACTGCTACATTTTCCAAGCAAAAACACCTGATCTGTGAGACACACCGCCAGAACAAAGACACAACATTGATCGTACCACCAGAGCTAGAGGTGTTTGAATGAAAAGAGAGTATCATTCTTTACTTTATGTAGAAGAACAATGTATGAACAAAAATTGAACCAGGCCATTGCATTCAGCTGAAAATAACTACACTCTTGGGAAATACAGGGATTAAACTAGGCTAAAAGAAAGGCTCATGGCTCTATTGAGGCCTCAACAGAATGTCGGAGCAAAGCTATAAAAAGGTCATTCATGTTGATGGTGCTCAACAGCTCCTTGAAGCTCAATGTGGTCTGAATGAGGCTAATAAGTGATGCTGCAACAAACTTCTGTTTTCTTTTGTTTTTTCTTTCCTTGAGGTCATGTAATTCTCTCTGGAGGTGATTCAGTCTATAACCATTCTTTGTACAGGAAAAGAACAGAGCTATGCTGCTTTTTGTTCTGTTTAAGATTTCAGCAGAATGTCAATAATGTGCTCAACTATGAGTACAGTATTTGTACTTACATAGTTACGGTATGCATTATATTCAGATGTGAGCTACAGTAAAACTTTCTGTTGGCATGGCAAACTTTAGTTTAGGTCCCTAGTTTTGCAGGAGACTGTTTCCATTGCCTCTTCTTTTTGTACTCACAGCAGTAGGACAACAATGAAAACAGTACTCAGAAATGTGTTCTTTTTTACTTGTACTTGCATGCAAACTGTGTGAGACATAAATACATAAACTTAATTCAACTTAATTTCTAGCATATATTTATGCATATTGAAGGCAGTTTAAAATTAAAACACAAAAAACCTAAGGATTTTCTACAGATGAATGATGTCACATGGCTTGTGCAGAAATGCACATCTGTCTTCTTTACAACAATAATAATGATTCACGCTAATCCCAAAATACCACCAGCCCTGATGGTTTAATCCTGTTCTTCTCAGACTCTTTCCTTTGTGACTGATGCAGATGCAAAGCGCAGCACTGTTTACCACCTCGTCCGCCCGCAGCCGGGGGAGAAAGTGAGAGACAGATCTGGCATCACGCTTGACCCAGAAAAAGGCCCTCTCACACACTAACTTTAAACCTTAAAATAATCCAGTCACAATAATCACAGCATATGCAAGCAGAGTACTTGATGTTTGTTCAGAGAATATGCTCATTCCCTTCGAAAAACCTCTGCTCTCCTCTGGCCTGAGACAGCAGCAGACGCCAGTGCACATCACAAAAAAAACCTCCAATGTCCCCGCTATCGATTGTACAAAATGTGACCACCAACAGCAGCAGAAGGACACTGCGTGAGGAACTGTGTTCTGTTTTTTCACTTGCATGAAGTTGGTCGTGTTTCTGTTTCAAAGTTGTAAAACATGTGAATGTAAGTGTTCATTGTGTTTATTTTGTTAAATTGTTAAATTGTGTTTATTTTAACTTGGGATGTTTGGATTCCAACAGGAAACTGTGTTCTTTGAATTTATGTGATTTATTTACTATTAGTCATTTGCCATATTTCATTTGTGATATTATCTTACAAATACATATACAGCAATATATCATTTTATTCACCATTGTGTATATATAGCCATAATATATATTTGACCGACAGACAAGACTGCAGACAACCTTTCAAATGTGTCATATTCATTATTTTAACTGTAAACAGTTTCTCCCAGAAGCGTCACTAACTCATAAAAAAGTGTGCTTATAAATATAAATGAAAAGCACCGGGCATCATCACTGCAGATGCACACAGCACTATATTCAAACTGCAACCCATTTAAAAGCCTAAGCATTACATTTTGTGACATCAAGGGTTTTTGTAAGAGAATTCCTCAGTTCACACCAAAAATCTAACTTTTACTTCAACATCCATTTTTCCTGCCTCCTCAGACTGCTGTTACTAAATAGGTTGACTCAGGACAGGAAGAAACAGCTGTGTCTCACTGTGGACACAATGTAGAATACCAGGGGGGAGGAGTTGACTGACTTGAGGTTTTTCCCCAAAGGCCACAATGGTGGTGCTTCTTTAAATTTAGCACTGTCTAAAGGGCTACACACTTTAAACAGAGCGACAGAGGAGGAGAATCTCCATGGGGGAAGGGACATGGAAAGAGGGTGTGGGCCGGAGTTCCCTCATGACTGAGGTAAGACCCCTCTTTAAAATATAAGTGGAAAATCTTAGCCTCCGTGTTGCCTAAAATACCGTAGATCTGTTTCACAGAGTTGTCCTGACATCGCAGAGACACACTTAGCTATGACGATGGCTGCCAACACAACCACAGCCAGTGACAATAGCCCTTCGTGTGGCTGATGAGTTTATCCTGCAATCCTGTTAAAATGTCAAAAGGCTTAAGACAATGCTGCTCATGCTAGAGTGAGCGCCAGGGTTTACAATCCACTTTCAATGATCAACCGGGTGATGAAGTGCACTGTATACACTGCATGAAGACGAGTCTTTCAGCCCTAAAGACCCAACCGGGGGAACAATAGAGGCTTCATTACTAGAGGTGGTGTTGTTCATATGTCATTTGAAGAGAAGAACTTTTGCTAATTAAAATGTATTATATATTACACTTGGAGACAACATTTCATTCTTTTATTTTAAATTATTCATTTTTGTATCAATTAATATTACAGTACAAAACAATAAAGTATAAATAAACCAAATATTTACTGTAAACCTTCAGAGTGTAATTAAGCCTGATTTAGGACATTTAGGAATTTACCTTGCATACGCAAAAACAGTTAATAATAGCACGCAACCGCACAATGTCTGCGGTTTACAATGTAGCTAGCATTACATTTACACTATGCACACTGACTAACACGCTAAAGGAAAACATTCTCACGTGTACGTTAATACCATTTTTTATGTATTAAAAATGTACAACGAAACATGAACTTAGGCTAATTTGCATAATTGTAATGATAAAAAAAATGCTCAAGTACATCACAGGTATAATA